TACTGTTACCTTGGCAATAGTTACTGCATCTGCATTCAGAAGGCCTGGTAGGTCTGGGCTGCCATACTGCCAGGTCCTGTACCAGGATAGAGAACTGACAATAGCTCCTGCCCAGAGGAACTTTAAATCTGAGCAAGCTCCTCCACCACGTTAAACGCGAATTACTTTGCTCGTTGATAATTGACAAAGAGCTATGGGGGATGAAAGTGATGCCGAATTTGCCCCAAAAGGCGAAATAGAAACTGCTCAGAGACTAAGTTTTCAAGTCCATAAGCAGGAGGAATTTATTAGCAACGCCTTGGGGAACTCTCCAGGCCGCCCTGGACAAAGAGTTCCCTCGGTTAGCAATCACTGCAGCTTTTTTATACAAGTTTGAGTGTAGGTTACATCATCTTTACATGCATATTCATATCTTTACATGCATATTCATATATAGGCGGAGTCTTCCATTTTGGGGAAGTTCCAGTGCCTTCATCAGGGCGGGGGATCGTCTTGTGAGTCTTCCTCGGGTTAAACTTCTGAACTCTTCCTAATTTGGGTAGCTTCTTGGTGTACTTGGCAAGGTCGGAGTGACCTTGGTTCATCCTAAAATTGCTGAAGCCACTACTTCATGTTCTGGTGTTCTTTCCTATCAACTTGTTCTGTTCTCTCAAACAATTTATCACCTTTGTGATTTGGTAAGATCTAGCAAATGCAGCCTGACTGACCACAAACGGGGCCTGCAACTCCTCAGAGCTATGACAAGTGACAAGAGAGGAAGGCAGGAATGTAGGGAGTAGGCCTGAGACCAGCACAATGATGTCTTGAAGCAGCAAAACAGCGTTGTTGACCTTGCTGGGAGATAGGGGATTCAAAGAAGGAACCCAGCTTACATTTTAACTCCTTATTTCTCCAAGACTGCTTCCTTTTGAGCAGTTTCAAAAGGTGGGCTGCCAGGTGCCGCACCGCTGCCGGCACACACACAGCTGCTGGGCACACCTCTGCTGTGGGACCAGAGGTGCCACTGCTGGCTCTGGGATGGCTCTTGCACGCACTCAATTCCCTTGGGATAAAGCAAAGACCTTCCATACGGGGAGAAGATAAAGGCTACCTGCAAATCTGACAGAAGGATGTGCTCTTGGGAGAGCAAGTAGATGGAAAAAATGTGCAAATTCAAACCTGAACAGAACACCACAGTAGCCAGCACCCAGAAGTAGGTCAAATACCAACTATTTCTTCCCTTCCTTTAAATGAAAAAAAAAGGATAAATACTCTTATCGTAATAATATACCAACATACAATACTGTACTCTCAAGAGGAGACACTTGGCTGACCAGTGGACCCAGGAAATCCCAGGTGAACAAGCCATGCTGCTTCTGTTTAAAGATCAAAGAAAATTTTTCATCCAGAATTCCTAACTATAAAAAGACTCGGGGGTCTTTCAGGAACTTAAGTCAAGCGGCGTAAAATATCACCTACTGGAGTACATAATCCAAACTAATTTAAGCAAAACATACAATCTCACACTGTCTCAAGGTAGTTCTCTCAGAGGACAACAGCAGCAGTTGTTAATCCCATACAGATGAACTTTTTTCATAACAGCCATTGCGAATGGGTTGATATTAAATGAAGGGAAAAGTTGGGTAGACTTATTAATGCCTTTATTAGTGCACTCCAAGTGGAACCTTGGGAACCTTTTAGGTTCAAGCTCAAAGGAGGACCTCACCGGGAAGGACGTGTGGGCGTGGGAGAAGTGTTGGCAGGATTATTGGCTCATTAAAGGTGACCTAAAAAGGAGAGCAGCATTGGATTTGTGCTCTTTCATGTTCCCTTATGATATATAAAGAACGGCTAATTTTTTTTTTTTTTCTTCTTCTTCCTCAGAGGGTTTTTCCTCCTTATTTCTACATTAGAGATTTTATACCTGGAGAGTAGCTGGAAGGTGACGTTCAAGATGGTGTGGAAGCGAAGCCTGACGCATGGAGAAGTAACACCATTTTTATTCAAATGCTTTAGAGCTTTAACGTCTATCTAAATCAAAGACAGAAATGAAGGGTAGAGAATCTGGTTTTGTTAAAGATTTAACAAACCTGCCCCTTCAATAAAATAAGCAGTTTCCTACTCATAAAAGAGACTCTTAAACAGTCATGCGACAAAACAAGAAATAATGGATTTTATCCTTTCTTTTTAATCTCACGCTATTCGCCTACCTCAGGAACAGCAAAAAAGCCAGATGATTTCTTTTACGTGCCTTCCCACGATAAAAAACAAAGCACCCATGAAGAAAATGGGAATGAGTCCACATATCTTCCTCTATCCTCACATAACCCGGTATAAAATGAGATTGCTATTAATAGCTAACTCCTGTCTGGGTGAGACCACACACAAAATACAATCCTTTTGAAGGCAGTTATCACAACGTAGCATTCCACAAGCTTAGGACGAGGCTTTAGGAAAGAAACCACCTTTATGCTGTGAGCTCCACTGCTCCCCATGCCCCCAGTTGACTACAGGTCCCATGTCCTGTCACAGGTGGGAACAGCTGGGCAGATGTTTAGAAGAGCTCTGGGTGAAGTCAGTCCTTGCACAAGCAGTTTCGGTCCCAACACAGGCTGTCTCTAAGGGACATCCAACACCACGCCAGTTACAACTCCAAAGCCCTTTTCTCCCCAAAGCCACACAGCTACCGCCTCCCTCCCCTACAGGCTTTAAAGAAAAAAATACAAATATTCCTAGAATAGTTTACAGAATATTAAATATTTAATGGTTCTTTTTCTGTAACAGACATAAAAGAAAAATAAACCAAAACTACAGAAGCATTTGTAAAGCACTATCACAGAAGACCACTTGGAAGCACACCCACCCAGCTCTCAGTGAAATCCATCAAAACCCAAAAGCCCCAAGGCTTCCAGTGTTTCAAACCAACACTTAAAGCCCCTAGAGAATGCAACAAGTACCAAAAAAGCCCCACATTTGTATTCCTTAAGCTGAGACAAAGTTGCACAGCAAAATGATAGTGGATAGAATGGACGTTAAATATCAGTTCAGCTAAACACAAAGTCAAACCCTCAAACAAGTCATTTGAGCCCAAAAGACAACGGGCAGAGGTGCTGCCTCTGTTGCAGGCACAGAACAATTTCAGAGCTCCAGGGCCACAATCTACAGCAAATAATGATGAGCAAAAGGGAAAAAAAAAAGCCACAGGCTGGAAGGGCGAGACGCCAGAAGAGAAAAAGAAGCCCAGAGAAGATCATGGGCTGAAGATGAATCGCATCTGAAAGGAGCAACTTTGCTTTCAAGTGAGATATGAAAAGCCTCACTCCTAGAGACAATGAGACCACTGGCTACTAGAAAGACACTGCAACAAAACAGTAAATAAAGCAGACTCAGAACAGATTTTAAACTGAAGTTACAAGCTTCAGTGTTTAGGCTAGGGAGAGTTTCTGAGCATTTCTACATATAGAAGGTATGAGTGTTTGCATGCCCATCACAGTAAGAAGTGGGGAAGGGGAATGTCCATCCTGACTTGGCTTTTGACTGAGATCCAACACAGCAAACAGCCACACAGACTGTCAGGGTCCCCAGCAGGAAAAAAAAGGGCAATAGAGAATTCCCTTGCAAATTTGTATGCCAAAACAACCCCAAACCCAGTGCTGAAGAGTCATAAAATTCAGGGTGAGAAGCAAAGCCAAAGCCATGGCAGCTGTGGAGATCCAAACTCAAGAGCCAGTATTCTTAAAAAGAAAAAAAGTCTCAGTGATGGCATTAGTAGGAAGGAATCACTATTCCTGATGCTGGTCTTGCTGGCACTCTCTGCAGTTTAGGGAACTTAAATCCCAGAACTCAAATTTAAACCCTCTTAAATTACAGACAAAAAAAAAAAAATCAAACCAATCCCAAGGTTTGCAAAATTTTAGATTCATTTTCAAGTGAGAAGTGTGCTTTGTTTCATGAAAAAAGATTTAAGTAGCTTTTAATTCCTCTGAAAAATTCATGTTTTAAAATAGGTTGCCATGTGTGACTGAAAGACATTTTAAGCAGGAAAGTGGAAAGCATTCTACTCCCTAGAAAAAAAAAATAAATTTAAGTTTTATTGGACTAACTTGGAATATTATTGCTGCAGTATAATTCAGGAATACGAGAAGCACATTTTTATATTTCAGTTGCAAATTAGGCTCGAAAAGCAGCAGAAGAAAACCTCTGTAGAGAAATGAATTGCTCTCCAAAAGACAGGCTATTTTGAAGCTGTAAAAGAGCAGAAAAGCAACAGCGAGCGTCGCATAAGCAGATGCCCCCACACCTTTCTGTCAGGGTACACACCTGCATAAATAAATATTTAGCCAAACATCAAAATTTATAAGGAAGCAGCCCACCACTTTACAAAAATCAGGCAAAAGCAAATTGAGACTCATTGCAAAGAGCCCTGCCCTGAATACTAATGCGTTATTGATACCTCAGGACCGACAAGCAGCCACATCTCGGGGTCCTGAGCAAGCCTCCTACATCTGCTGCGGGAGGATCTGAACACATCTTGATAAAAACCTTATTGCTAAAAATTTCGTGTTATCAGGCAGCTTTTGTAACAGAGGCAAAGGCACAGCTTCCTGGCTAGCAGGGCTTTTCCCCGCGTTTATTCTAATGATACACATTCAATTACTCCAGAAAAGAAAAGAATCAAATCAGAAACATCTGTAGTTTGCCATATAATTACTGGATCTTCCCCATGGAGACTGACCTTTGTAACACTGATACCGGGACCTGAAAGGCTAAATGACAGGATATTCACATGGTTTAAATGTATAACATGATTACAAGGAATTACATAGGCACTGTTATTTTCCATCTTGGTTTATGTTAACATAAGCATGGACTTTATGATCTTACGTTTAATCTTTGCGCTCAGTATGTAGTAGCTGAATTTACCCACTATTAGGGGACCCAAACCACTAAAATGCCATGTTTTGATTATATAATAAAGTTGAATACTGGATCCGAGGTTAATATGCAACCATTACTTTTACCTGTAATAGGAATCTTTTCGACCACGCTTTCTTCCTTGCTCTCATCTTCACACCAGCTTGTGACTTCTGGATGTGAACACACCATAATGAAACACATTTCAAAGTGGCAGTGATCAGACTGGTTTGTTTGCTTTTAAGCCCTACTCCCTTTAATTTCTCACTTTTGTTATCTCTTGTTTATTGATCTAAACTATCCATTACCGTTCTTAAAAGAGGCACCTACTGTGAACTTTCCTCGCGTGTGAGGCTACCCTGCCTCTCTGTAGCTTCCAGAGAAAAGGACAAGCTAACCAAATGTCTTAAATTATTTAAGACCCGATGGGATTTAGGAAACAAACAGCCCACAGTAACTCTGCGATCCGGTCCGGCAGCCCGACAGCAGCGGCGTATATCATACCCACTGCAGAAAATTAGCTTAAATCAAAGTCTCCAGCTCCTCCGCGGATAAAAGTCCTGTGAATTTAGGAGGCCTTAAGCAGTTTGTTTACATTTGCTGTGTAAAGAGCATTGCAACCTAATTGCCTGTCTCTTCTGGACTTTGATGTAAGGGATGCTCTGAGAGCAAACCGAGCAAGTTGCCATCGCGAGTTATTATGCCCGACTAATATATTACTTCCTTATCTAAAGAAATTAACTGGGTTTTCACAGACACATTCACCTTCTAGGGCTGAAACGGCACCACACACACACACCCCTTTCTCAGCATGAACCCTTTTAGTTTTGAAAATCTGCAGTCTGGCTTTCTAATAAGAGGCAACGAATATATCCTGCAATTTCCAAACAGTAGATATTTTTTAAATGCACGCACACCTATAGATCTGTTTTTAATAACTGCCACAGGGCTTTTCTGCTCCTGCAGAAAAAAAATAATCACAATAGGCATCATTCATTTTAAGAAGTAACAAGAATGACAAACAGTACCGAGATATTTAGGAAAATCCCCTAAAGTTCATTACAAATATACATTTGTTTGCCAGTCACTGTAATACAGTCCCCTGTAGATTTGGATTAAAAGAGATACATATATAGAGAAAGACAATAAGTTTGAGCACACAGCTGGACCTATTAACACTTGTTACCTTGCTCTCCCGCGCCGGTGAGCTGGGCAGCATGTTTTGCCTGCTTTATTTCCCCACCATCATTTGGGATCGATGGCAAGCTGCAAGATGATTCATTACTCTGAATAGATGACCTATTCCCACACTCTTCTGGAAGGACCTCTCTCAACACGGGTAGAGCCTGCAGCATTACAAAAAATAAAAATAACCACAGCCCTATTATCCTTCATCTCAAGCATTTTCCAACATACATTTAGGCTAATCTATACTTCATGGTGTAATCCGTTTCCAGGGTGTTTTTGTTAGATGTTAAATTACCTCCGAGTTAAATCAGCCCTAGCTCAGGAATTGCATTCTGCCTTGAAGTAACACAAACTTTGAATTATTCTTTTAATCAATAGATTTTTCTGGAAATTCTCAGTATTCCGTGCCTCCCACATTCAGGGTAAGCACACACAAAAAAAAAAAGGCTGTATCAAATACGCTGCAACAGCAACAGACTGAAGAGAAATCTGTCAGCAATAAGGCAAGTTAACCCACAGCGTTAGCAATAGCTGCAGCTTCAAACATGGCCAAGAGGGATGAAGCTGAAGGCTGAGAACCCGATGCACAGCTTGCCCAAGCTGGCCCCAGGTTCTGATTTTAATCCACATTATTCCTGCACGTTCATCAAGTTTGTTCTCTCCCACCTGTGCGTGCAGCCCTCCGCGGCAGCGCTATTCAGGCGGCCGGAGTTAAACATAATTTTTGGTGGAATAAGTTGGAAGCCAGCACCTTTATAAAGAGCTGAGCACGTTGTAACTACAGCCGAGTTAAAAGCAGGGTTAAAATCAAGCAAGCACTTCTTAGGTTACCATACACCTGTGGTAAAAGTGCCCTGGGTGACTTTGTAAAGCTCCTTCTGAGAGCAGGAGAAATCATCGCTCCTGGCAATTACTATTTCACAAAGAGCAGCAAAGGCTTTTGGGGCATCCTTCCAATCTTTTTCACTTGGAGGGTGTTCCTCTTGGTTTTACTTTGTAACACAAAATATGGACTTGAGTCTTTAAAATCAATTAGATAATTAGAGCAGAAAATCTAATAATTTAATAAAACAATAAACCTTCAGCGATGAGCACCCACATCTCAGAGAGAACTCCAGGTTTTGTAACTGACCTAAGAATATGTAACAGCATTTGGAGTCATTAGAAAGTGTCATTCTTCTACACCTGCCCCCTCCTCATTAATCCGTATTTATTCAGGAGCCCAGGATGGCAAAATTTTCAGTCTTAAGCAAGTAAGTCGCTGAATTTTTTTCTTTCTATTAAACTTGCATATGGGAAGTGTCCACACAAAACCAATGCGAACAAGCTGCTACTTCATCCAAAAATGAGGATTTTAAGTGTCATTTCCCTAACAAAGAATGCCTTAAATTACAGGGAGGATTGGGAAATCTTTATTATTGAAACAAATGAATTCCCATGTAGCAGTTTATCTCAGTGTGGATTTTTCACTAGTAGCAAACTACTAGTGCTACAAGTACTTTGTTTAGCTGTGCAGTATCATTGAACATCCAAACAGGCCTGAACCACTATCACCAAATACAAGCAATCAATTAATCCAACACTACAATTAATCCAGGCAGAAGGAACGGTCCCCACCAGGGAAGCCAAAGCTCAGCATTCAGAGTCACAGGACCAAAGCAACTCTGAGGTGGTCAGCACCTCCATCGGGGCATGAAGTCATCTAACATGAGGTTCAACAAGAGCAAATGCAAGGTTCTGCACCTGGGCCGGAACAATCCTCGCCACCAATACAAACTAGGGGGTGAGGGATTGGAAAGCAGCCCTGAGGAAAGGGACTTGGGGGTGCTGGAGGATGAGAAGCTGGACATGAGCAGGCAGTGGGCAGCTGCAGCCCAGAAGGACAATCCCATCCTGGGCTGCATCAAAAGCTGCGTTGCCAGCAGGTCCAGAGAGGGGATTCTGCCACTTTACTCTGCTCTGGTGAGACCTCACCTGGAGTATTGTGTGCAGGTCTGGAGCCCTCAATATAAGAAGGACATGGACCTGATGGAAGGGGTCCAGAGGAGGGCCACGAGGATGATCAGGGGGATGGAGCACCTCTGCTACGAGGACAGGCTGAGGGAGCTGGGGTTGTTCAGCCTGGAGAAGAGGAGGCTCCGGGGAGACCTAATAGCAGCCTTCCAGTACCTGAGGGAGGCCTACAGGAAGGCTGGGGAGAGCCTGTTTAGAAAGGCCTGTAGTGACAGGACGAGGGGCAATGGCTTCAAGCTGGAGGGGAACAGATTTAGACTGGAGATGAGGAGAGGGTTCTTCACTGTGAGGGTGGTGGAGCACTGGAACAGGTTGCCCAGGGAGGTGGTTGAGGCCCCATCCCTGGAGATATTCAAGGAGAGGCTCGACGAGGCCCTGGGCAACCTGGTCTAGTTGGGGGTGTCCCTGCTGACTGTGGGGGGGTCAGACTAGATGACCTTTGGAGGTCCCTTCCGGCCTGGACAACTCTATGATTCTATGATAGCATGCTGTGTGAGCCACGTGGGTCTTATTCTTACAGGAGTGTAACTTGGCTGAAGAAGGCACTGGATTCCACAACTTCCACAGCCAAGAGACTATCCCACTGGTGTCTCTACCACATCATCTCCCTATGGCTGGCCCATGTCCACAGGAACAATACCCACTTTTCTTAACAGGGGTAGTGGGAGAAGACAAAAACTGATAGTAAGAGAATAGAAGACAGACAAAATTTAGTGATAAGAGATGAGAAAACAGATTCTATGGACCACTGGAATAAGTGAGTTGCTGAAGGCATGGCAGGAGCAGGTAGATGGAGTGCTGGTCATCACCAAACCTCTGAGGACTGCAAATGGTGATGGGGACAGAGCTGGCAGACTTCACAGGTGTGTTTGTATGGTCAGGAGCTCAAAGAGCCCTCCTGCACCTTCACCCTGCTGCCTGCCTCTACAGTACCATCGTCCAGTGGGGTTCTTGACAAAGGATTTTATTTTTTTTTTAAAGCCCTCAGAGAAAAAAGTCAACAACGTGGGCCAAAAATTCAAACTTTGGAGTCATGTCTATTTAAGATCCTTAGGTGTAGATCACTTATGAGCTTACTACTACATTGTAGACAACTTAATGGTAAAGCAGCTATTCCTATACATGCATATTGGGGAATTTATATGGATCCTGTTCTGTGCAACCTGCTTGGAAATAAGGTGTTTCAGAACTAGAAGATGCATCCTGCCATTAAATTTAATTGACTGGATCCACTTAATAGGTAATACAAACATTAAATCTGTATGCATGGGACATAGTAACATGTAGTAATAAACTAAAAGATTATTACTGTAAATATTCACCCATAAAGCTTGCATTATTGAGCTTTGACTTTGTAAAAGTTTTTACATGCAATTATAAATTTATGTGCGGTATTTGTTTATCTGTCACTAGTGCAATGATACATTCCTTGCTCATCTCTTCTACTTGACTGAATGTTTTAAGGACAGAATACAAATTACTTATCCATATAGAGTAAAAGAAGTTACCCTGGCTATAAGTGTACAACTGACTAAAATATTACATCTTCATTATTTGTTTCAAATGCTATTAAAACTAGGATATGGCAAAGCAGGTTGAACTGCCTTTTAATTTCTCATTAAAAATTAGAGGGTAAAAATGTATTTATTTTTTTTTCAAATATTTTTTGGGGCAGAGCATGGGGCCAACTCCTTACCAGTGGGCTGCCTGGCAGACCTGCCCATTCCCACTGCAGGGGTGATGCAGAAGCTGCCAGAACATCACCTCAGTCCCATGCCAACTTTTTTTTTTTTGGTGAAAGTTACTTTATAATCTTTTGCATTAATATTTAACAAACTGAGCATGCTACTGTTTGTAAAATGCCCTATGTATTCAGTCTACCAAACGTAACTCTGTTTAAAAAAAATTAAAATACATCATTCATGATTAAAAGCTACTAAGCCACAGAGAAAGACAGATGATACAAGCCTTGTGATAAATTTGCACAACAGCAAATGTGTAAGCTCGTTTGAATAAATAACTTGTTTGAAGGGAAGAAAACAGACACCCTCCTGGAGATCTTAAAGAAACTATTCTCTTCTTTGCATGAAGTGCTTGCTGTACATGTTTGCCCTGAGACAACTGAATAACTTGTATGCTCTCGTTACCCACCTAACCATCTCCAAGGCTGATTAATGAACACAGACTGCTTGTGGTTCCCCTTTAAGCCCACACACTGGATCATGATAAGAGCACAGGGCTCATCTCGCCTTAATGGTGCAAATTAGTCTCTAGGTGTCACTGATTTAGATATGCTTAGGTGTAAGTGCCAACCTGGTCATCCTGCGACTTCTTGCCAGAAACAAGCAGGCTTCCAAACATCTCCACCACTTCATCTGTGAGCTGAACTTGGTGCTTTTTCAAGAACAAGGCATGGTTGCTCAAGAAAGTCCGCTGTATGTCCACATCCCGCTGCTGGTCTGGCCTGAGAAACAAACCCAAACATTATTAGTACATGTGAGACTAACACAGGTGCTACTTATTTATCTGAACAAGCAGGTCAACACACATTGGCAAAACCCATCATACATTTTGTCCTTAATTTGCACTTTCTTTTAAAAATGTCCAAAGTGGAAAATGTAAGAAATCACTCGTGACTCTTGCAAATGTCAGGAGGACAGGCAGGGGCAATCATCATGCCTTTCCCAAGAGACATTAAATCTTTTCTGCATCTGAGTCTCAGCCATGGGCAGATCTCACTCCATCAGGCACTCTGCTGAGCAGCCACTTCCCCGGGCTTGACTTTTTCGTTTCCAGAATTATTTTTATCATTTTTGAGGAAGAGTGCCTTCCTTTATTTTAAAACAGAAAATACAAATACTGCAATCTTGTTTGCCAAAGACGTTTGTTTTTTCCAGTTGCTCCAATGAAGTTTCACAGAGGAGTGAATTCCAATTAACTCCACAAGTGTTTGGCCCTAAGAAACCATTCAGGAAATATAACAACATATTAGTGCTTGCAGGCGGATCGGCCTCGAAAGGAGAACCAGGTATAGTTAAATAGACCATTCTTCAGCGCTCACAAGTGCCCCGATCCTGCTAACACTTGAGCATTGCTGAGCCTGTAACAGGGAAGAAGGTCTAGACAGAAGCTAAATAAGAAAGAATGGAAATTGTTTTCATTACTGCATTAGAGCCCGCTAAAAAAGAAAAAACACAACAATAAAAATCAGTTCTCGCTTGTCCTTGTGGCCTACACACAGGAAAAACAGAAAACATTTTGAATAACTGCAGTTTATTGGTTTTAAAGGCTATATGCATCTTCTGCTCCACAGAAAAATAATTTGCTTCTCAAAATTACATTCCCCATCCTCATGTGCCTGAGATTGCCTTACTCGTACCGAAGATCACAGAAATTACTGGCGAAGAGGTCTCTGAAGTGAATACATTTCCCTCCCTGCCAGAGCAGCCCGGGGTGGGAGATGCTGCAGACTTGGCAAGACGGGAGGCCCCAGCCCGAGTGCTGCTCAGCAGAAAAAGATTCACCATCAGCGAACGAAAAGGAAAAGAAATGAATTTGTTTAATGTTCTCATTTCAAGTCACACGGCTGCTGCCTAGATGGGTAAAGATCAGCACTCGGATGTCTTTATTTGCCAGTGCAATCGAAGATCTGGCCCTGGGTCTGCTTTCTCTGCACCAGAGAGGCAGAACAGGCTTGGGGAGGAAAGAAAAGAATGCTAATCACACCAACACGCAAGTTTTGTGTCTGCGATACCTGGTTTGCTTTTCATCCACTGCTCTACCTTCAGCATGGAGTGTTCTCTCAGGTAGGAAGCCTCCATTCAGCTCACTCTGTAATAAAGCCCGAAGCTGATGAAGGACAACTGCTTCGCATTCTTCAAGGTCACCTTCTTTCAGACTGCCAGCCCGACGACAAAAGCTACAAAATAAAGAAGGTATTACATGCCACGTTTATTTAAAGCCCAGACAGCCAGCATCAGTTTGGAGGCAGAATCCATAACACTTCTCCTGGCTAATGGGTTGGACCTGGCTAATTGGGTAACCAGTTGGACAGCCCAGAGGGAGAAACATCTATGATGTGAAAGATGGAGATCAGGACAGGAAGGTCAAACTCAGCACTTAGAAAACAACATATTTAATCTCACACCTTTGCTTTTGGACAGTGAGAGAGGAACCTGTGCACATCCACTTGGTGAAACCACTTCTTGGCCAGGCAGCCCCAGCCATGCTGCGGTCAAAGTGGTTATTTCACAGGAACCCATCTCCAATGGCAGGCTGGAGGGGCCATTCCACCTGCTTTCCTAGAAACCCTCTAATGATGAAGTGCTTACCAGAAGGTTAGTTTATGGAGGCTGACATAATTTTAAATATAATTACAAAGCCATTCCCAGTTCTTGTAATCAACTCCCTGTGCTACAGAGGGACAACGAGGCCTCTCTGACCCTGGTTTTGTAAACACATGGGGTTTGGCAATTCTCTTTGCGTGTTTACTTCAAAGAAGAAATGATTTTTCTAGTTACTGTTGTCTACCTCAGCGAATCAGGAGGGATCACCTAAGGGATCTGCAGAGCAAGGCTGCAAGAAGCGCTACAAATAGGAAAGAGTATTTGTTGGAGTAATTTGCGTATGCGCTTTTAAGTGCCATATTTCAGCTCTCCAATGACATTAAAACGGTGGAAGGGGAGGGAGGCCTCTTAGCAACTGGCAATGTTTGTTTGCAAGAGCCCGCTTGCTCTTTGCACCAGCCATTTGTCACCGCAAGAGCGGGGACCCCTGGCTCAAACCTCAACAGGCCCCTGCAAAGCTGCTTGGTAACAGCCTCTTGCCATTGCTCACCTGAATTCAATTAGAAGCGTGTAAGCAATCAACAACAAAACGACAACAAGCATTACGCTGGATGTACGGCAGCAAGCAAACAAGAATAAAGGGGATTAGGGTTAAGGCATAGGCCACGCTGCCTCCTCCCTGGTTGCTGCCAGCTCTGCAAGGGCAGCAGAGAGAAGAAAGCCACATTAACCTGAGCAGCTCCGCCGTCCCCACCGTCCCCTGGCACTTGTCCTGGTACAGCACCCGGTGCTGGGGGCTCCTCCTCACCACCACATCTTCTATCAGCTGCAGAGCACGGGAGAGGCCTGCCAGCATCGCGCCCTGCCTGCGGAGGGACAGCAAACAACAAGGCTTGAAGAGACTTGAGCCACCACACGTATTTCAAACGCGTCCCCGCCACACCGGTTGGAAAAAAACAAACATCCTCATTTTAGCTTTTCGAAGCAAATGACAGCAAAAACCACACTGCTTAAGCTCTGCGGAGAGGGGAAAAAAAAGAACACAAACCAACAAACACATGAGCAAACAAGCCATCCAAAAAAATCAGCCAGGGCCTAGATGCTGCATCGAAATTACCCTGCTCTGAGTAGTTTAATTCCTTCACCTCCACAATTGGAATAAATCTGGTGACCACCTACAGGTACAGGGACATAACTGGGATCTCAGAGGGGTTTTGATGAAGCTGCACCTCTATAATGATGCAAATTAGGACTTAAACATTGAAACAATACATCAGGCTAATCCTTGTACAGAGGTGTAAATGGCTATTCAGGTCCAGCCCGGCTGCCTGCTTTGTTGAGGACTTCCCAGACCAGGTCTCCACCAGCAATGCCCCAGCTGGGCCTGGCCTGCCGAGCCCCACGTGTGAAGGAAAGATTCCCCCCCCCTCGCCCCCCATATGTAAAAGCTGACATATTTATACAGTTAACCTTGGTTTGTGCTCCCTCAAGTGAAAGGCTCTGTTCATGAAAGCTTGCATCTATTTCTGCAGTCATGTGAAGCTATACTGGAAGTTGTGTTTTCCATCAGACTGTTGAGCAACAGTGAACAATGAAGTGGGAGCTGCCGTGCATTTAGTCGAGTTTCCTAGACATTTAATAAGCAAAACAATACCAGGGAGATCACATATGCAGTTAAACAGTGCTTTTTCTTTTCCCCCAGTCTTACAAACCCTGTATTTTAGCGGCCGGCCAGTTTCCCATTGTTTTCCTCCCACTGGGTGGTCCTTCCAGGGTGCCACTCGAGAGGGATACAATAATAAAAAGGGAAGGGGAAGGAAGGGACACCAACATAAAGAAAAACAAAATGTATGACAATCTGCAGCAGGCTACGGATCAGAGGTCAGCAAACAAGAGGTCCTTCTCTTTTACAGGTTGCTTCCTGGAAACAGTCTGATTAAGCTGACAGCTTGAATTATGTGTTACATTTTGTAATGCACAATCCATCTGTGCTAAGTCCTCTTCAATGCAGCTGAAGCAGCACAGGCATAAGCTCTGCCTTTTTCCACCCCCTCAGCATAGGCCTTAAAATAGTCATCATCTTTCTCTGTGCTAATTCTCAGAGACCCTCTTCCCCCCCTCCCGCTCCCTGGGTTTAAGCCCTTAAAGAAAGGGCTGGGTGCTATAAGGAATGGTAAGAGGATACAGAGCCTTTCACCTCCGGTTCAGCAGCTCAGAGCAGCAACAAGCAGCCAAGGAGCAGAGCTATCAGGTGGCTTCACCTGGCAGGAAGGGAGATGGGGTGTTACTTGAACCAGCCAGGCAAAGCCACCAGTTTACCAGCAGGTCTCCTGAGCTGCAGACCCAAGCAGAAAATACACAGCCCTGGCTCTCACACAGGACTGAGCTGCCAGGACAAGTCAAGGGCTGGGTGCTATAAGGAATGGTAAGAGGATACAGAGCCTTTCACCTCCGGTTCAGCAGCTCAGAGCAGCAACAAGCAGCCAAGGAGCAGAGCTATCAGGTGGCTTCACCTGGCAGGAAGGGAGATGGGGTGTTACTTGAACCAGCCAGGCAAAGCCACCCACTTACCAGCAGGTCTCCTGAGCTGCAGACCCAAGCAGAAAATACACAGCCCTGGCTCTCACACAGGACTGAGCTGCCAGGACGAGTCTGAAAGATCATCGAGTCCAACCACAAAAAAAAAAAACCACAAACAAAACAAAAAAGAAACAAAAAAAGAAAAGATCATCTTGTCCAACCATCAACCTGACTGACACCTGTGACACCCACACAACAAACAAGGAGCATCATCACTAAACCATACCTCCCAGCACTACCTCAACCCATCTTTTGAACACCTCCAGGGATGGTGCCTCAACCACCTCCCTGGGCAGCCCATTCCAATGCCTGAGAACCCTTTCGGTGAAAAAATTTTTCCTATGGTCTCATCGAGTCCAACCACAAAAAAAAAAAACCACAAACAAAACAAAAAAGAAACAAAAAAAGACCAAAAAACCACCCACCACCTAAACACACAACAACAACCAAACCAAAACCGTCACCCACCCACACAACATCCCACCACAAACCAATAATCTTGGGCACTAGAGCATGCCCTGAAGAGCCATGTCTACACGTTTCTTAAATACCTCCAGGGATGGTGACTCCACCACCTCCCTGGGCAGCCCATTCCAATGCCTGACAACCCTTGCAGTAAAGAAATGTTTCCTAATATCCAACCTGAACTTCCCCTGGTGCAACTTGAAGCCATTATCCCTTGTCCTATCATCTGTAACTTGGGAGAAGAGACCGACCCCCGTCTCTCTACACCCTCCTTTCAGGTACTTGTACAGAGCCATAAGGTCTCCCCTCAGTCTCCTCTTCCCCAGACTGAACAGCCCCAGCTCCCTCAGCCTCTCCTCATAAGACTTGTGCTCCAGACCTCCAGATGCACGTGTACAACCTCAATCAATGCTCCCACCCACAGCAGCGCTCCCAAACTTCCCCAGAATTTAGTTATTAAAAATGATGATTTGGGAAAATAAAGGGAGCAAAGTCACAGCACCCCGTTGTGAACCACGGCCAAGGTGCAAAGCTTATACTAAATAACCTTTCATAGCAACATCACTTTCCTTTGGTTAATAACCTACTGATGTTATCATGATAACCATTCCTCTAGCTGGAAAAAGGCAGTTTGAAATTAGGCTGAACTCACCCAGAGGTAAAATATGACTTGCAAACACTTACTTGTGGGGAAAACAACCCAGAACTGATATTTCTGCAATAAGATAGCAAAGGCATTTTCTCAAAAAAACCCAAACCATGTGATTTCCTAATATGGAACAAGGATTTTGCTTTGCCTTTCGAGTGAGCTATGATCCCTGCACATGACAGCTCCTTTCCCCTCCATCACTCCTACTAGTTTCAAATAAGACACCAAAAGCATACAAATGGCCCAAAGATGACAAGTGAGGAAAAATACTTTGTTTGGATGCCACAGCAGAGACACTGCTGCGTTGGGAAAGTCCAAGCTACAGATATTTTAATTTAGAACAAACAGAAAATGTCTGCATATTTCTCCATCCAACATAGGCATTTCCTAAGAGAAAAACACATGGATGGAAGGGACTTCCCAAGACCTGTGATATTATTCATTCTGTGAATCTGGCATGATACATTCAGACCAGAAAAGCTGCATTCTCATAGGTTGTGTAATTCATGTAATTGAAATTCACGTGCTAATTACTTGGAAACTTTCCCCAAGATTTTCAGCTCCTGAATTATTTTGCAAGACTCAAGTGTGCACGCTGAATTTCACATGTATTGGGAAGATTAACTTGGAAAGCCCACCTGGTTATAAGTGCAACAATGGAAAAGAAAAGGCTGCTTATCCCTCCACAAGACCTTTCTGTGTCTGCCATTTTTGAAATTTTATCTGCATTTTAATTCTTGGGTAAGACAAATTAAAATTTGTCTCTTTTTTAAAAGACAGAGCTAACAGTGGCGATCCCACTTCCATGGCCTTGAGAAACAGAGGTATTCAAGCTGGGCATAATCCAAGAGGAAACCTCCACATTCTGGTTTCAGTCGTACTCTAGAGATAACGCAAGCAGTGAAACCTTTTGTATAATTTAGCAGGGCTTCAAGAGCATTGCACAATATTTTCATCAGTTCATGAACAACGAGGCATCACTAGCATTGACAGCGACAGAACAAAAGGTTAAATTACCATCGCTCAGCTATGACTTCTCTAGCAAAGACAGGCACTCTATGCAACTTCCCTACAAAGTGTTATGATTAACAGGTGTTATACAAAAGAAAAAACTGGGTAAAAGCTATTTAGATGTAAATTAGATGATGTTTCCATAGCGAGCAGTCTGATGCAAATGTGAAATGATAAAGTTACACAAGTGTATATTGATGGCTGCTAGTTTCTGCTCAACTGTCATCTATTAAAATACAAACTAATATTAAAATCAGTACCTAAGACAACATGACCACGACTGTAGGAAGAATAGATGCGTTAAGCAGATTAAAAAGCTGCCAACAACCAAAAAGGAACCAAAAAGGAACAAAACCAGCCAACAAAATAGTACTCCTCAGGGGTAAAAACGCTGGTTTGTTTTGTACATGGTCTCTCCCCAATGTATAGCCATCAGTTAACCACCCTGTACCTAGCTAACCACTCCAGCTACAAGCATTTTGCATGTGAACAGTACCCACACAAAGTAGGGAGATCCACACAAGCATGTGCCTGCAGAAAAGGCTTTGATATTTCTTTTATGACTGGGGGCAGAAAAAAAGCTGGTGAGGGGAGAAAAGGGTGTTGAGGACAGCAGAGAACCTGGAAAGAGAAGCGTGCACTAAGGGAGAGCAGGCAGGAGAAAGGCAGCAGTCATACATCACAAAATTGTGGGGTCGGGCAGTGGTGGGATGGCTGGGAGAAAGGGGACGTGGACATGAAGCACTGCAGACAGAACTGGCAGCAACCTGACATTCAGAAGAACTAAGAGACAGGAGATAAAGATGGGTGGGATGCTGCTGCAGCAGCAATGGGGCACGATAAGGTGAGGACCCAGGAAGGGATGATGGCATAGGACTGTTCAAGCACAGCAAGGGAGCAAAGTCAGTCCTCCCAAGCAACCTCCTTGGACCATCTCCTGGTGAGTTTTGCTCTGCTGGGATGGGGATGAGCTCCCTTGTCTTACGAGGGCATTGCAAGGCTGAAAATCCAGCTGTGATTGCTATTACAGGTGATACTCTGGTATTGCACTTGTTGTTGGCAATGAAACCCTACCACTTCCACACAGTAGCAGAGGACAAGCTGTGCATCTCTGTGTTGTGCTTTGCTTATTTTCTCTCTGCTATTTCCAAACGAAACACTCATGAAATTTATCCCACTGGAAGTGCTGATCCACATAAAATGTGCTGTTTAGTAAGCCATCAATACTATTCAATGAACTTGTTGAAATAAAACGTGGTAAAACTTAAGTAGTGTCTATTACATTTTAACAACAAATACACTTACCTCCTCCAAGTCTGACCTGAACGAGATACCTGAAGCCGTTTAACAACTAGCACAGAGGTAGTGAGATACTAAATAAGTAAGAATTTTGCCAAACCTGAACGCAAGCTTTAGTACCATGTGAAAACAGCCTCCTGGGCATACGCTAACGAATGAGTATCAGCAGAAAGAAAATACAGAAGGACATACCCGTCTGGTGCTGAGCTGACCTCCTGCACTGCGTGAAGATCTGGTGGTTGCAGCAAGGAGCCCTCTGCAGTACAGGCATCACTGCCCCACTCCCCCCTGGCCCCGGGCAAGGCTGGCCCCTGCTGCAGGCCAGGAGTGCTCAGCATCACTTCCTCGGCGCTTGCGGGCACCGGGAGCTCAGCGCTGCTCTCCCAGCTTGCCTCCTTAGACATCCACCAGTTATCCAGGCAAGACTTGGGTCCTGTAAAAATAATAATAAATCATTCCCAAAATATCAGTAGGTCAAGAAGGACGCCATAGCATGGAGAACTAAGCTAAGATTAGCTATGCTGTTTGCTCACCTCTTTCACTTCTGTGTGATCAAGCATCCCTCTGCTCTCCCTTCACTTTGGGTTTCCCTGCCCACAGTGATGCCGAATTTGCCCCAAAAGGCGAAATAGAAACTGCTCAGAGACTAAGTTTTCAAGTCCATAAGCAGGAGGTATTTATTAACAACGCGTTGGGGAACTCTCCAGGCCGCCCTGGACAAAGAGTTCCGTCGGTTAGCAATCAGTGCAGCTTTTTTATACAAGTTTGAGTGTAGGTTACATCATCTTTACATGCATATTCATATCTTTACATGCATATTCATATATAGGCGGAGTCTTCCATTTTGGGGAGTCGTCTGGTGGGAGTTCCGGTGCCTTCATCAGGGTGGGGGATCGTCTTGTGAGTCTTCCTCGGGTTAAACTTCTGAACTCTCCCTAATTTGGGTAGCTTCTTGGTGTACTTGGCAAGGTCGGAGTGACCTTGGTTCATCCTAAAATTGCTGAAGCCACTACTTCATGTTCTGATGTTCCTTCCTATCAACTCGTTCTGTTCTCTCAGACAATTCATTACCTTTGTGATTTGGTAAGATCTAGCAAATGCAGCCTGACTGACCACAAACGGTGCCTGCAACTCCTCAGAGCTATGACAAGTGACAAGAGAGGAAGGCAGGAATGTAGGGAGTAGGCCTGAGACCAGCACAATGATGTCTTGAAGCAGCAAAACAGTATTGTCGACCTTGCTGGGAGAGAGGGGATTTAAAGAAGGAACCCAGCTTACATTTTAACTCCTTATTTCTCCAAGACTGCTTCCTTTTGAGCGGTTTCACAGCCCCATGTCCTTCTGCGCTCCTCTCGCAAGGGGGAGTCCGGGGAGGCTCCAGCCTCCATGCCCAATGCCTTTTTGGGTCTGCAGCTCTCCAGTGGGAGACAAACCTAGCACTCCTCAACAACTGTCACAAGGCAGGAAGACCAGCTACTGCATTAAACCATCTCTGGAGGAATGATAAAACAGAAAAGCTGGAAAAAGCTTTTCTTAGGGGGGGAAAAAAGTGCGCACCTGAACAGGCTACTATTGTACACATTTTTTAAACCTCGCAGAAGAAACACATGTCTGGAGGCTTTTAAACTCCACACATTAATTGCCTTCTCTAAAAAGAGGAGAGTACAGGGCTGAACTGTGCTTTTGAGATGGCAGATACATGCTACTTGTCTTTTTATAGAATGCCAACAGTTAATGGACCAGCTAGTGCTGTAACACCGTACACTAGATTAGTATTGCTACAGAAATTCCCAGTTTCGCATCAAACTCACCATGGGTTTAAATTAAGCAGCGTTTGCACACCTGCTAACGCTACAGCACCCAGCATTTCTGCTTCTCTTGGTCACGGAATTTCACTGGAACCAACTCACTTAAGGTTTATGCCAAACAGCAGCTGATGCCAGGATGGGGTCTCTTAGCCTTGTTTCCAAATTTGTGGAGCAAGTCTGTGCAACAGAAATGTCACTATTGCGCTTAAATGAGGGTAGAGAGGAACAAAATTTTGTTCT